GAGAGAGACAGAGAGAGAGAGAGAGAGAAAGCAGGGAAGGGAAAGTAAGAGCCTTTGGGGAAAGGGGCGGCTGGAAGTGAGGTAGCTGAGAAGGGATGTGGAGGAAAGAGATGTCCCTGTGGCCCTGACAACCATCTATCTCCTTTACCCAGGCCTAAAGGTTTCCCAGAATGTAAGATTTTCAGTGCTGAAACCAGAATTCTAGTCCTTGGTAAACTGGGTAAGTTGGTCCCCCTAGGTGGCAGGCCTTGGGTACAGGTCCACTGACACAGGGACCCCTTGCACAGCCAAGGACATCTCATCCTTGGGAAGGGCTATCTGCACACTGAGGGCAAGCCAGGGCCTTCCAGTTTGACATGGGCTCTAAGATTTCCCTTTTTTTTTTTTTTTTTCTTTTTTCGGTACCTGGGATCGAAGTTGGGTCCTCGCGCTTATGAGGCAGGTGGTGGAACCACTGAGCTAAATCCCCAGACCTGTTTTTTCGTTTTGTTTTTTGAGACAAAGTCTCATTATATAGGCTAGCCCTGCAAGCACAAGGGCCAGAGTTCAATTCCCAGTACCAAAAAAAAAAAAAAAAAAAAAAAAAAAAAAAATTCATTACATAGGCTAGGCTGACCCTGACCCTGAGCTCCAGGTCCTCCTGCCTCAGTCTCTTAAGTGCTGGGATAAGATTTCCTTCCTTTGTTTCTTTACTCTCTCTTCCCCCCCCTTCCTCCTCTCTCTCTCTCTCTCTCTCTGATATTGGAAACTGAATCCAGAGCCTGTGCATAGAGCTGCATCCCAAGTCCTCTTTTTAAATTTTGAAACAGGGTCTCCCTAGGCATGCGTGGTGGTGCACACCTGTAATCCCAGCACTCAGGAGGCTGAGGCAGGAGGATCGCTGTGAGTTTGAGACCAGCCTGGGATACATAGTGAGTTCCAGGTCAGTCTCAACTACATAGTGAGACCCTGTCTCAACCCCCGCCCAAATAAAAGAAACAGGGTCTCCCTAAGTTGCTAAATTGCTCAGACTGGGCTCGAATTTACAATCTCCTGCCTTAGTGTCTCAGAGTACTGTGATTATAGGCATCTGCCACCCCTTTCTTGAAGGCAAATGTGTCCAGAAGTTCAGGTCAGGCATGCGCCAGGAAAGAGAACTAGGCTCCCAGCTGGGGCCAAACTGAGCAATTGGGAGTGGTCATAGGGTTCATTCTCACAGCTTGGGGTGCAGGTGTAGCCTTACCGGGACACTCACATATCACTCAGCTGTGCACGCTCATGGCGATGGCAGACCTGTGTCTGCACACATACACACACACACACATACATGCACACACTCTTGTGCACCCACAACACACACAGGATCTCTCTCCATGGCAAAGGCAGCACCCTGCCCTCAGCCCCTCCGGCAGGCAGAGTCGTTTACTTTGAGGGGCACGGAGGAGGGCCGGCACCCTTTCCTCCTGGACCCCCTTCCCAAGCCTGCCTTTCCCATGACCTCTACCCCCATGCACGGCCCCTTGCTGCACGGCTCCCCCATCCAGAAGCACACAGGGAATGGAGGAACCCTGGGCTGGGGGCTGTGTGGGCTTCCTTCCCTCCCCTCCTCCTCCCCACCTTCCTCCCCCAGGCCTTCCCACCACCAAATCAGCCTGTCCTCTGACAGCCTGAGGCTGGGCTGGTTTGGGAAGGGTTTAGACATGGAGGGCCGTGGGGGAGGGGAAGAACGAAGGGAAAGGAGGAAAGGGGGTGATCTGTACACAAAGCAATGCGCTGGCTCAGCAGCCGGCAAGTGCCAAGGCTCTCCAGAACGCCGGCCTGGGGGGCGCCCCCCAATCACACCCGACTCTCCCACCCCAGCCGCTCCATGGGGCCTGCGCAGGGCCGGCCCTGCGCAGGCCCCATGGAGCGGCTGGGGTGGGAGAGTCGGGTGTGATTGGGGGGCGCCCCCCAATCACACCCGACTCTCCCACCCCAGCCGCTCCATGGGGCCTGCGCAGGGCCGGCCCTGCGCAGGCCCCATGGAGCGGCTGGGGTGGGAGAGTCGGGTGTGATTGGGGGGCGCCCCCCAATCACACCCGACTCTCCCACCCCAGCCGCTCCATGGGGCCTGCGCAGGGCCGGCCCTGCGCAGGCCCCATGGAGCGGCTGGGGTGGGAGAGTCGGGTGTGATTGGGGGGCGCCCCCCAATCACACCCGACTCTCCCACCCCAGCCGCTCCATGGGGCCTGCGCAGGGCCGGCCCTGCGCAGGCCCCATGGAGCGGCTGGGGTGGGAGAGTCGGGTGTGATTGGGGGGCGCCCCCCAATCACACCCGACTCTCCCACCCCAGCCGCTCCATGGGGCCTGCGCAGGGCCGGCCCTGCGCAGGCCCCATGGAGCGGCTGGGGTGGGAGAGTCGGGTGTGATTGGGGGGCGCCCCCCAATCACACCCGACTCTCCCACCCCAGCCGCTCCATGGGGCCTGCGCAGGGCCGGCCCTGCGCAGGCCCCATGGAGCGGCTGGGGTGGGAGAGTCGGGTGTGATTGGGGGGCGCCCCCCAATCACACCCGACTCTCCCACCCCAGCCGCTCCATGGGGCCTGCGCAGGGCCAGCCCTGCCGCAGGCCGCCCTCCTCTCCTCCATAGGTCCACACTCTATACCCAGAAGCACCATCTGCCTCTTGCTTGTCCTGGTAGCTACAAGACAAGGCTTCTCCTGGGCCTGTGGGCTTCTGTTTTCATGCCTCTCATGAGGTAAGCTGTGCCCATGTGGATCATGATCAGAGCAGGGAAACCCAGCCTTCTAACTCACGATGTGAGCAGAGCCTGGCACCCCGAGCTTGGAAGGCTCAATGCCACCCACCTCCCCAGACGGAGACACCCTGGCCTCAGGCCCCAGAAGAGACTACAGCTTGGGGTGACAAGGGAGCATCGCAATGATCCTGTGATGGGGTGGCAGCCCAAGCCGTCCTACCTTCCTGGGTTGCACCTCCACAGAGACACAGAGGTTCAGTCTGAGCATGGACTCACCAGGGTGGCTGCTCGTCACAAATCAGGGCCCAGCACTTCTGCGCGTACCTTGTAGCAACCAAGCATCTAAACACTTCACCCATACACCCTTTCACTTATGCATTCCTACACCCATCCATCTAACCATCTGCCCACCTGTCTATCTACCACCACCCTTGCTCCTCACCATTCTTCCATCCGTCCATCCATGCACTGGCCCAGGCACCCATGCATCCATCTGTCCATCACCCATTTATGGTCTCCCATAAGCCCAAGCGACCAGCTATGTATCCACTTAGAGCTGGGTGTGGCGGCACATGATTGTGATCCCAGCACTCAGGAGGCTGAGGCAGGAGAATTGCCACAAGTTCGAGGCCAGCCTGAGCTACATCGTTGTTCAATGCCAGTCCAAACTGCACAGCAAGACCCTGTTTTAAAAACACAAGGGGAAAAAAGTATATAACCACTCACCCATCCTCCATGCAATTATTGCATAAATTAGGATTTCTTTGTGCTTTGAGTAACTCAAGATGAATCAGGCTCAACCAGACCAGCTGGGAAAGGAAGAACCCAACCAGCCCCTTTTGTGCTCCTCACACCCAGACCCCTGAGGTTGTTCTTACTGTGTCCTCCCTCATCCCAGCCAGGGAAGAAAGTTCTCAGATAGCCTTTCCCTACCTCTGTGCCCTTGGAGGAGGCAAGTGAGCACTAGGTGCACTCCCAAATTGGGCACCCATGTGCACCACCAAGACCCCTTCTTGATCCATTTGACCTTGTTGGGAGCAGAGATGCTCCCTCTGTCCCTAGCCACCATCCTACTCAGACTTCCCTCCATTTTTTATTTTTTACTTTTTGGTTTTTTTGAGACAGGGTCTCACTCTGTAGTTGAGACTGAACTGGAACTCACTATGTAGCCCAGGCTAGTCTTGAACTCACAGCGATCCTCCTGCCTCAGCCTCCCGAGTGCTGGGATTACAGGCATGCGCCACCACACCCAGCCAGACTTCCCTCCATTTGCAAGTAGGCCCATCTGTAATCTGGCCTTTGACCCTCCTCCTCCTCCTCCTGCTTCCCTTCTCTGCTCCCCAAGCCTTCACCACCACTGAAGCTGGGGTCCCGACCTCTGATCTGACGTACCCACTTGCCAGATACCCTGCAGCCTTGCACTAAGACAACCAGCACTGGCCATTGCCCGAATCATGACTGAGCTCACCACGCCCTTGGACCAGGCTCAGGACAGCCCATAAGGAGCCTCCTGAGGCTGCCTCCCCCAGCCCGGCCCGCCCTGCTGCCCTGCTCTGCAGCCAGCTCCGTCCTCTTTCCCAGACAATTGCAACAGCCTCCTAATGGGTCCTGACCTCAGGTCCCCTCCACCTACCAAAACCCAGCCATGGTGTTCTCATCGGGGCTCATCCCCCTGCCGCCACAGTGGAGGCGTGGAATTCAGGGACAGCTTTGTGACCTCAAAAAGCAGGCTGATTCTCCCTTTCTGTGCTTCTGTCTCCTGTCCTCTCCATTCCTCTAGGCCCACTTCATCTTGACCTCCTACCTCAAGACTTTTATCCAGCTGTGTCTCCTTCCTCCCTTCATTTCTTGACATCATGTCTTACTCCCAGTCTCAACTCAAAGGATGCTGCAGGGGCCTGCAGCAAAAAGGGAACTGGAGTAAGAGTCAGGAAACGTTGGTTTTAGTCTGAGCCCTGCCACTGACTTGCTCTGAGACTCACTGGGGTTCAATGTCCCCAATTACAAAATGACTCACTGATTTCAAGAGACCTTCCAGGTCAAGGATGGCTGACTTCAAGGGAGTGGCCAAGTGGGCAAGTGGGCTTTACTACAGGGAGTACCTCTGCTGTCCCTGCATCTCCTTGAACACTCACCTGAACCTCATTCAGTCATGTAACAAACCTTTAGTAAGCAGTGTCTATGGTCTAGGAGCTTTTTAGATTTGGGACACAGTAAGGAACTGGACCATGACCCTATCATGGAGCTCACAGTCTCCAAGGGCAGAAGTTCTCCCCTGGAGGTGATGTTGGCATTTGACGCTTCGCAATGAATGTCTGGGGACATTTTTGATTGTCCCAACTACCAACATTGAGACAGAAGCCAGAGATACTGGTAAGCACCTCCAGGTATAGAACAGACCTTACAACCAACAACAAATGTCCAGCACTGAGGGTCAAGGCTGAGAAGCTGGCCAGGAGAATTCAGGCCACAAGGAAAAAACAAGTAAGTCTATACCATGTCAGAGGGTCAGAGAGGGGAAATGGAGCAAGGTGTGGGGCAGGGAGTCCCTGGGGGACGGTGGAGCAGTTGGGGGCAGGGATTGACCTGAGACCTGATCCTTAACCTGAGACCAACCAGAGGAAAGCAAAGGAAGAAGCAGAGCATTTGGAGATTTCAGACTGAGCCAGGTGAAAGTCTGGAGGTAATGTGCCCAGCAAACTGGGGACCCGCAAGGAGGCCAGAATGGCTGAGACAGCGGGAGGGGAATGAGTAGTTTGGAGCCAGGTTACATGGCAAAGACCTTGACTTTTCCTCTGAGCAAGATGGGGGCCTCTGAGCAAAAGAATGACCAGAATAGACCTAGGTTTTATGAGCATCCCTCTGCCAGGCATGGTGATGTATCCCTGTAATTCTGGTACTCTGGGAGGCTGAGGCAGGAGGATCAATGAGAGTTTGAGTTCAAGGGTTTGAGGCCAGGCTGGGCTGCATAGTGAGCTCAAAAGAACATCCTTTTGGAAGAGTAGAGAAGGTGAGAGAGAGAGAGAGAGAGAGAATGTGTGTGTGTGTGTGTGTGTGTGTGTGTGTGTGTGTGTGGTTGCAAGACTCTAGATGGGAAATGCCAGTGACATGGGCAAAGGGTGGCAAAGAAGGTGGTAAGAAGGGGTCAGGTACTGAGTCAGTTCTGAAAATGAAGCTAAGAGGACTTAGAGGGAGCCTGGCCTTGGTGTGTGTGAGAGAGAGAGAGGAGTCAAGGATGAACTCAAGGTTTTGAGTCTCAGCCAATGTCAGGGTAGACTGACTACTGATTTTCCTCTCCCAAGAAGGGAGTGATATGCTTCACAGGCATAGACCTTGAACTTTTGGGCATACGACGGGTTTAATAAGCCCTGGTTTTCAGAGACTGGCTGGGTGTGCAGGGCCAGGCTGGGTACTGAAATGTAGTCAGTAAAGGTCAACCCGTGCGCCAACAACCCCATACTTATAAGACTAAGGAACATTGGCCTCATGCTCCACAGCTGACAGAGCCCTCTGTGCTGTGCCACACTAGCCCCACGTACATAAGAAAAATGGAAGCTTAGAAAGATTCAGTGAGTTTTCTGAAGTCACACAGCAGATTAAAGGCAGAGTGAGAAGCTGTACCAGGGTGGCATCCTGAGTGCTAGAACTCCTCCTCCACCTCCTCATTCCTGGCTCAAACATTTACTAAGAATATAATGGAAGCCCGAGATTTAACTCAGCAGCACAGGGCCTGCCTGGCAAGCTCGAGGTCCTGAGTTCAATCCCTGGCACCAAAAAAAGAGAATATAATGGGTCAGCCAGTGTCGTACGCCTATGGTTCCAGCTATTTGGGAGGCTGAGGTAGGAGGACTGGTTAAGCCCAGGAGTCTGGGGCCAGCCTGGGCCACATAGCAAAAACTCAACTCAATCAATCAATCAATGAGAAAGACAGAAAAAATGTGAGCAAGCTGGGGACCAGGCCAGAGTGGCTGGAGCAGAGGGGGGAGGTGCTTACAGCTGTAAGTATGAGTTAATCTTCAGTCACCTTCTCGGGACCATCCTGGGTGACAGGCTCAGTACACGGCCTTCAGAGGCTTGGGAGAAGGGCAGAAAGAGGTCTGATCAGGCGTATGCAGAAGCCTCTGGGGGCAGGGAGGCTCCACAACATGAAGCCTGTATCACACACGTCAGTGGACCAGTGTGTCCAGTGCCCATAAACGGCCTTGCACCAGCCCCCTCACAACCAGCCCTGCCCCCTAAGAGCAGAGCCCCCCCAGCCCCCTAACCCACACACCCTGCCCTCCTGCAGCAGGAGCCCAGAGAGGCATTTCCTGTTTGGGGGCTGCCTTCTCTCCCTCCAAGCCCAGGTTCCCAGGGTCCCCAGCTGAGCAGGGGTGTAGAAAAGGCAGCCCTCCCAGCCTCCCTCCCTGCCCAGCTGCAGGCAGAACTCTGGGGACTGGGGTGACTGAAGAAGGGACTCAGGGACAGAGAATGGGGGTGGGTGTCCGGGCCTTTGTCCTCAGCCCCTCAGGGCCTGAACAGGGATGTGGACTGCCACACCACCTCAGAAGGAGCAACTCCAGGGTGTAGGGTGCTGGGCAGATGTGCGCTGGGGATAGGGGTCGCAGGCTTGCTTGGTTGAGGTGAGGTGAAGGACTGGCGTGGCAGGTCTTAGCCAGGCACACAGGGGCCAAGAGTGTGCCCCTGCCTGGCGGGTGGGGCGAGGAGCATGCACATGTAAGTATGGTGGGAAACCAATGCTGGGCAAGATTGGTGGGTCCAGATCTAAGTGCCTGCGAGTGTCGGAAAAGTGAGCTCAGCTGGAGGAACTGAGCCCCAGACTGCAGTGTGCTGGCGCTTGGAGGGTCCTGTCTCAGAAGGCAGCAGTTTCTGCCTCTCTGAGTCCCATCCCTGTGGGGCCTGGGGCAGCCCGTGTACTTCGCCTCCTCCCTCCTCCACCACCCCCAGCACCCCCACCCCACTGCTTCCTGCTCCTGTGGCCCTGGGGGAGCGGGAGCAGGAGCTGGCAGCCACCCCAGCCCATTCCTTACAAGGCCTGAGCCTGGCCTAGGCCCGCCCCCAGCCCGCCTGCCGGAGGCCCCATCTGTCCCTCCCCTTGTCAAGAGCAGCGGTGAGCCCGGGC